AGCACATCCATTAATTGCGTCCATGAAAATGAGCAATGAAAATGTTTTTAGCTACTTCGATCAAGCTTTGTATTATCATCAGTAAAGACAATGATTACTCTGAGATTGGAAATATTTATGAGACAGTAGATGACCAACTAAAATTAAAATACAATAAAACAGCATTGGCCGTGCAGCAACGTTTGTATGGTGAAGAAATCCCAGAAGTTTAGCATAAGATTCTCTGCGCTTCTGAACATGTATAAAATGATGAATGAATGAATGTAGCAATATCCACTCTCAGATATAATTATACACACTTGTTGCTTGTAGTGGAAATTGATTTTCAAGTTTGTTTTCTAACAGCGATACGATGATTTAGATAAGCATATTGATTCATGTATACAGTCCTGTATTTTGGACGTGAACGGTTTTCAGGTTTTAAATCTAGTACCCACTTTCGCCTTCATCCGATAATAGTAGCTATCACATGTAATCGATTTTATCATTTAGGCTGGAAAAATATCCATGGCTGTGCTATGCTTAGTGTGACACAGACACTCTCTACTGGGCGTGTCAACTTCCTTGTTGGGGTATTTTTGTGCTTTGTTTGATTGGAATATATATCAATGAACTTAAATATCGTTGAGAGATGAGAAAACCAATACGAAGTATTTTAAAACAATACTTTACAACATCCTTCACATGGAAACAGAAGTATGTAATCGTGGAAGCATGTCAGATTACAGTTAATATTCGTGGACCTAATTTGTTGACCCTTACGAACAATCTGATTCTAGTTCTGTGTTATCACGAATTAAACTGTGCACTAATTTTTGTCGTCTACTGTTCGTTCAACGCGATTCGTGTGATCGAGTGAGCAATGTCGGGTGTCTTGTTATGAAGTGAATTCATTCGTTATTTTGTGTTTTGTCATAAAATTCAAGGTATCATTGAACAACATGGATGGCCCTTAGGTGGACGTTTGCGACTTCACCGGCCTTGCCAACGAGTCATGCCACGTCAACCACGTCAAAAATTAATAGCTTTGGGTGAACCATTAGCAAGTTATTTTTGTTTGAAGTCGAGATTGGGAGAATTCGAAATACCGTGCCACATATATGCGAATTTAGACGACGTCTGGTTATACCTGAAATATTCAAATTAAAAAAAAATATACAAAATGTTCAGTCGTGATGTCAAAAGTAAATCTGTTTGCATGAACCAATCAGATTGCAAGGATTGTTATTACATAATATGGAGATATAAAAAAATATTGTTTTTAATAATGCTTTGTTGAACTGGTCTGCAACGATATATGTCACTGCTTTGCCACAGTTAGATAAGCACAAACTAAGACTACAGTGCACGTATATGTCCCGAGGTTTATTTTTCGTTAACGTGCACTTTAGCGACACAATTACTCCACCCACAATGCAGTGCAAATGATCTTTAGGACACAGGCACATATACGGCAAAGTACTCATTACATCCTGGTTGGCGATAAACAGTATCCGGGTATTGCAGTGGCTGCCTGCCCAATATCTGTCGACGGCAGACAGTACTAGTATATAGCTATCATTACCGGTAAGGTATTTATATTATTACCACGTGTGTCGTAATGTGTCGTATTTCTGAGATTCGTGCTTCGAATGTCGACAAATGTAAACTAAGCCCGTGGGGGGGGGGTCACCTTCTAGATCGGGCCCGCGCGGGAGGCAAATAGGCCCCCTTTAAAATGTTAATGTCTGCAATAGGCCGGGCAATAGGCCCCCAGGAATAAACTCACAGGGTTGCTGCGCCCACTCTAGGCCCCCTCTTGCAACAACCACTCCCATACACCGCCCTAGGCCCCGAATTGGCGGAGCCATAACCCCGACCAAGCCCCAAACGCCCGCCCGAACTTTCCCACCGGAACTTTCCCGTCACTTGCAACACGAGTATTTTTTTCACTATGTCTGCTCTAGGGGGTACTAAATTTACATTGCGTCCGTAATAGGGGGCATTGTTTGCCAATGTGCTGCCAGCCCCAGGGGACCTATTATAATTCACATGGTGTAAAGTTTTAATATAGAGTGCCCCCCCCCAAGGAAACTAAGGTCACGTGATCCCGAGTTTGGGCCATACAACGCACATTAGTTGTATCACAAAAATACTACACTATTTTGAGTTTATTACGATTCACTCAAAACGTATTCACGTATTGCCGCTTGAGGTGGTCAATTCGCAATGCAATCTGTTGTAAACAATGCTTGTCACTATGGTAACTATAGAGCGTGATCTAAACATTGAGCAAAGGTCGAGCGAACCGGACGTGATGATGAGGATTATACTAGTATACCAATCTGATAAATTACATTACAATATAGGAACGCGTTCAATTGCAGTTGGCCTTGTTATCTCATATATATTTGTCCACCAGCGCCCATATATATATATAGCTACATCGCTCAAGAACATCTGAATTAAGGTAGCGGGACTATTATTGACATACTTGTTTTCATCTTCTGATTGTGACTAAATGACTACAAATAGACCCAGGAAAGTATATATTTTTGGAATCGCCAGACTTCAAGCTTTACAAAGGTGTGTTTGCCATGCCCGTATCTGCATTCTACGGTGCGTTACTTAATCAAAAGTGAAAAATTACTTTTTTTGTAAAAAAAATAATTACGCATTTATGCTGGTGATAGGAAGTTTTTTTTTCACTTTTCCTAGTTGTTCAATAGTCTGGTAAATTGAATGTGTCTGGTCAGTTTTATTCAAGCAACGCGTTTT